ATACCCAGGACACACACACACACAATCCATGAAGCCACCTGTTCTCCCCCCAGCTATGGGTCAATTAGTAGGACCTTTATCGGTAAATAATTATTATCTCTGAAAAATTCTTCCAATCTAAAAATATTTTATGACTTTAAATAACCTGCAAAAGGTTGATAATTCGTAAAAAAACTAATCAATATATCTCTCAATGTTGATAATATTATCAGCTTCGTTGATTTCTCCATTTCCCTGTATAACTGTTTTGTTCGTTTTGAAAGTGTTGTTTGTTAAAGTACCAATTATTGATAAGGGTTTTTTTATATTTTTTAAGGGGAATTATTTTAGATGAGGAAATGGGTATAGCTCTTTCGATTAGGTTATTAATGACAGCAGTTTTATATTTACAGTATTTACATTAGTCGGACTATTGTCCTCATCTTTGTCGCCATATTTGTCACAACGTTTCGGCCGTTGTACGCTCCGGCCTTGAAATTGGAATTTCGAACTAAACCCTTTATTTCGATCACTGGGGTAGACTGTTCTAGTTCCACGTGCTATGTTTGATGGATGTCAGTTATCAGTTATCTCCTGCTAATTTTCCCTCTGAAAGTTCTCCACTGCCTTAACCAGGTATTGAACTCACCTTCTTTTGGGTCTGTCACTGGATCTAACCAACGCCTTTATCCACTATGCCATGTGTCCTGGGTATGAACTTCTGAGTATTATAAACCTAATGTTTTCAGCATCATTTTTACCAGTGCTCATATTGCAATTTTTGCTGTTATCATTGCATGTCTTTACCAGAGTTCATATTGCAACTTTGTTATGATTGCTTTTCTCTGGCACTCCTTATTACTGGTTCCCATATTGTATTTATTTCTATGTTTGGTCGCCATAGGAGATTTTTGTGGCCTAGCATATGTGCTGATTCATTAAGTTTACGGATTTTCCAATGGTGTTCCCTGATGAGGACAATAGTCCGACTAATGTAAATACTGTACATAATACCTCATCTCAGAAATATAAACAGTTTTATATTTGTTAGGGCATTTACTGTTGTAGTTTAGAGGGCAAGGGTTAGAACTAGTAAGCTTTAATAGAGATGTAGTAAAATATCAATTTTAGCCAATGAAAATATCAAGAAATGGGATTTTTTTATTGATATTTAGTTCATAAGTGAACGTAAGAACGAAATTTAAAAAAAAAATTTTTCTAAGTGCCTGCCTCTTCAAATGTATATGAAAAATAAACAAAAATCAAATCTCGCTTACTCTTTGCCTACGTCACAACACTCACTAGTTCTACGAAAGTCACCAGTCTCTACCTTCCCTGATGATGGCTTTCGAAAGTTTGAACAATATTATCTGTACTTTTCCTTCGAATGAACTTCGGAAAATTTCTGACAGAAATTCCCCCCTTGTTTGAGAAGAATTATTCGTAAATTGGAAAAGTGGATCAGTAAAATTAATCAACACAAAACGTATATATATATATATATATATATCTGTGTGTGTGTGTGGATGACTATGTGTGTGTGTGTGTGTATGTTTTAAGAATTTGAGTAAATGATCTCGACTGAGCTACACATGAAATGATAATTGAAAGAAACGTTCATGAAAGTATAATATTTCGAAAAAATATACGATAATGCATTTGGCCGATATATGATCTCATTATTATAAACAACCACGCAAATTCATACACACGCAATTCATTTTTTCGTCTTGGATCTGATGAAGCCTAAAATGCGGGGAAATGCATTATCGGATATTTTTAGAAATATACTTTTATAAACGTTTTCAACTGTCATTTAATATATATATATATATATATATATATATATATATATATATATATATATATATATATCAATCATAATTTTGGTTCTCAACAGTCGAGGTGCAACTAAATGCGCCGAAACGGAGTTGCAGTAGTGAGTAAATTGTTTTTGTCTTTATGAAAAATATAACCCACACACACACACACACACACACACACACACACACACACACATATATATATATATATATATATATATATATATATATAAAAATCATAATAAATATTGTTCTACTATCTGTATTGAGCCCTTTTTGAATTAATGCTGTGAACGTTACAATTTATATATTATTTTCGTTCTCATTACATTCGGATATATATATATATATATATATATATATATATATATATATATATATATATATATATATATATTTCATTAAAGACGACTGACAAGGTACTGCGATTAAGCTTTTATTCAGTTTTTAACACCTTCACAGCTGTCTACACCCGTTGGTGTGTAAACATGTTTAATGGTCCGGTCCTCATTGTCTTAGGACGACGTTTTAGCCACGGGGATAACTCTGCGCTGCTCAATGCTGACTCTGGTTCAAGCTCTTTGTTGTTCGCTTGCTGCTTCGATCCACACCAACTCTGCCAACGTTGTGTTCTTGATCTCAGAGCAGTGAGAGATCGAATGTCGTAGTAGTGCTGGTTCAAGACGTGGTGTCTGCCATATTAAGGAAGAAATATCTTCACAACGAAAAAAATGGAAAGATTCATGGGGTTAATCTTCAATTGGTTTATATAGTTCTTAGTACAGCAAAAATTAACATTTCCAGCATCAACCTCTCTAGTGACACTATGCCTTGCCTAAAAATTTGGGTTTAAAGTTCTTCGGAATCTAAAAATCTGGTGGAAGCTGACGTGGATTGCAGAGGTGCTCGATGCGAGTTCTCAGCCCAAGTCATTGAGCTCTCAAAACTATCTGCTTATATGCACTTCAGCCCAAAACTGCGGTGGGGCCGAAGGGTTCTTGGGATTCGTTGATTTCCACATTAATTCTAATAAGGGTTCTTTGTTTCCTATTTCTACTTTCTTAATCAATTTTCCAAATTTGGGGAATTATCCATCTTCCCGGGTGTAGTTGCAGGGATTGCTCCTTCCCTAACTCCAACCTCATTCACTTCACATCTCGCACCACCTCTCTACACAAGCGGCGCCAAATCCTCCTTCTTTCTCTTTCCTTCTCAGCATTCCACCTCAGCCCATCTTTCAAGACCGGCACAACTCTCTTTGTCACAAATCTGATTTTCAAATCGTGTGGCTGAAAGGGCGTAGTTTATTGTAATCATTAATTTGAATCCAACTGCCTCCTCACAGTAGAGATAAAATTATCTCTCCATTCTTGGTATTATTTGTCCAGCGAAAACACAAACCAGATCACCCTCTCGGCAATTCCAGAATCAGTTTTCATAACTTCGACCCTAACCAAAAGGGTTCCTTTCTTTTTTTATTTCCCAATTCGTTTTCGTCAACGAAAATATATTTGTTTGCTTAAATTCTCAAGGAAGAGATAAAATTGTTCTCCAAATCAAATCTGTTTTCGTCTGCATGCTAGACGCTGGATAGATAAAAACAATAAACGTTAGGAGAGAAGAAATCCAGGCGGTCCCATTTTCACCAAAGAAGATGTTTCCACTCTCTCTCTCCCTCCCCCTCTCTATCTATCTATCTATCTATCTATCTATCTTGCAGCTTACATTCCATTTTGGACTTAACCCTTTTCTGCTCAGAATCAACATTTAAGCTCCTCATGATACCAGTGTCACAATTCTATTAGCCATTATCAAGGATGTTTTATTTTTAACTGAATTTGTAGATTTTTATTTGTAGATTTTTTATTTTCTAACCACGGTCAAAACATTGTGTCCGTGTTCATAGATGATGTTATTGAATGTTGGCCTTTTTATTATAAATGCTTCCATGCTTACATTATATATATATATATATATATATATATATATATATATATATATATATATAACGTATGATGTGACTAATAATGCGAGACACAGTGCATACAAGCAGAACACACACACGTATACATATATGGGCGTGTGGGTAGAACGTTCATTTTTCCACCTTGTTTGAATCTCATCATGTTCGATGACATCGTAGGAAAGTGCCTGAAAACCATACCACAGATTAACCTCAGCTTTGTAATTAAAATTGGTGATCGCAACCGAAGTTTTGAACATGCTGGCTTTGTTTAAACTGTGGATCACGTCAAATTATTTACCCTCCCTCCCAGAAAGTTCCGCTTAGCATAGTTGGGGTATAAATCAAAGGTTGTCAGTTTGGGCGTTTAACAAACAGAAATGAGCCTGAACAGGTCTCTGTAATAGGGATTGGCTAGCAGGCTATTATATATATATATATATATATATATATATATATGAAGAAATATAGTTTTAAGGTGTGCTATATTTATGAGATAAAGTGCTCAATATCAGAGATAGGGCGTATGTAAATATAAATAATAAAAGTAAACATTGAAAGTCATTCACTCACAGGCGACATGCTGTTTCATGCTAGACGCAATCGTCAAGCTGCGAATTCGTGGCCTGTCGCCTCTGAGTGTTGACTTCACTGTTCACTTTTATATATACATATATGTGTGTGTGTGTGTGTGTGTGTGTGTGTGTGTGTGTGTGTGAGAGAGAGAGAGAGAGATTTTTTCTTATTAATATAAACATTATATTTGGTGAGTACAGGTATTTGAATAAATATTCCTGTTTTGTTAAATGGTGAACTTAATGTCTACCGGCCTAGGGACCAAGAAGTCATACCTAAATATATTGGTTGGTTTTCCTGTAAAATTTTATATCTTATATATATATATATATATATATATATATATATATATTCTTGCATTCGATGTTTCTAAATTGTGTATAATTCTGCATTGAGACTAACTCTCTTTCTAGTTCAATCTCTCTTTATTTCAAGTTACTAACAAACCCCCACCCCACCTCTCTCTCTCTCTCTCTCTCTCTCTCTCTCTCTCTCTCTCTCTCTCTCTCTCTTAAGACCTCAATTGTGAATTTAACTCTGTAGTTTCAGATCAATGTTCGAGGCCTGGGTTAAAACCAGCATTCTGAATGATGGTTTTCGAAGAAGTCAGGATGTTTACACTCAGCAACACAATCTTCCACTAATATTTTCCCCACTCACTAAAAATCTGTACACACATTTGTTTGTAAAATCCGCAATACCTCGATTGTGTAATCATCTGTATATCTACTTGTCGATCGGTTAGTGTTACGACGTAAACGCCAAGGTGAGATTGAATGCTGTATGCGTCTACATGTGTCAGTTAGAGATCGTATACTTGCGTGCGTGACAGAAAAGATAAAGAAATGTGAAGAAGAAGAAAAAAAGAGATTAGGAGAAACAATGGAGGGAAAAAAAGAACAAGCATGAGAGATATGCGGTGGTGGGGGTGGATCTAAAGTTGGTTCGGTGAGGGAGGCGCTCGAACAGCTTTTATGTCAACAGCGTCCGACAAAACATGTATGTAATTTTATTGGTGAAACAATGACAGACTTTCACAGAGAGGCTGATTTATTTTATGCTTGATAGACATAGGTCGGTTGTTAAGCGGTTGAGTCAAGTCCCAGCGGTTGGATTTAAAGTTTTTAGCTCAGCCTAAAAGAGAATATACAGAGATAAAGAGAGACATATATATGAACAGATAGATAGATAGATAGATAGATAGATAGATAGATAGATTCGACCGGAAATGACGTGAATGAAGCAAATCCCTAATTCAATGATGAAGGGTCTCAATTCAGCATAATTCAAGGGAGGCTTGTATCCTTCGGTTGGCTCCAAATTAGGACACGTTGCTAGTGTGACTGACCGTCCAGGTACTAAATAATAAAAGGGATAAAAATGGATGGTACGAAATTTGAACATGTCTGGTCACTGGATACACCAGAGTGGATAAACTTTTTTAATAATGATATATTCTTGGATTACAAAGAATTTGTATCAAGAAAGGTAAGCAGACGATTATATCTTTTATGTGTGTGTGTGTGTGTGTGTGTGTGTGTGTGTGTGTGTGTGTGTGTGTGTGTGTGTGTGTGATTAATACAAACATGAAATTTGTCACTAAGATGATTAACGTTATATTCAGTACCACGACTCCAGAGTTTCGTAGACGACCCTTTTTTGTAATCGTTCGGTCCACTCGTCAGGAGCTATCAGCAATTGACCCATCATCGTTATTTTTATATTAAGTTAAATAAAATAATTTATGCGGTTTTTTTTGTTGGTACTAGATTGATTTTTTCTTCATTTTGTGTTTATGTGTGTGTATGTATCTACATGTGTGTATGTATCTACATGTGTGTAGTACTTATATATATATATATATATATATATAACGATATATATATATAAATTGCGATTGCATCCAGCATGAAACAGCCTGTCGCCTCTGAGTGTTGATTCAATATATATATATATCCTTCACTTGCTCATTTGATAATAGGAGTGAGGAGCACAAATAAAATATTCAGCAAGTTTAATGTTAATTCCGATCTTCTTCTTCTTCTATATGCAGTTGGCGATCATAGCTCTCAACAACTTCCTATCCTTCGTGAATCTAATTTTTGTCTCCTTTCTATCGCCGTTAATTCCTGTTCTACCATCCATTTACATAATTCCGTTATGTACGCTTACTCGCTGTTTCGCCCTGCTTCTCTTGTCATTGAAGACAATGAAAATGTGGGTCTAAGTAGTGTCAGCTTTTCCAAGCCGTCTTTCCCCATGATATGTCCTGGAAATTTCAACTGTCACGGTTTGATTCTAAATACAAACATCTTTTTTGATTCTATTTTCCTTAAAACATCTTCGTTGTTTATATGTTCCGTCCATGGATTTTCTCAGGACCATTTCCTAGAACAACCACATCTCAAAGTCTTCTCTTCGTCTGTTTGGAAACTGTTCAGCATTCAGTAGATGATTTGATATTACATAGCAGTTTTTCTTCTAACGAAATTTTCCTGTTTTTTTTTTTTTTAGTACTGATGTAAAAATTGATACAATAATAATAATAATAATAATAATAATAATAACAATAACCAGTTGACTAAATTTCCTGTGGTTTGAGGCATCATGCATTTCTGTTCATGAATAGGATTCGAGCGGCAGCATCATGGCCGGGTATCAATAGTATTTATTATTTTTTTTTAATTTGAAGGATGAGGTAATCAACCTGAAGGTATTTCTAACTGAACCCCACCTGGAAGGTTATGCGTTGCTCTTATCAAAATATCTCCCTATATCGCTCCCATCTGGCTGTGATGCACGTGCGTAACATAGTCTTATCGGGCTTGGTATCAAAATGAGTATATTGGGCTCCGTATACCCGGGCCAGCGCGTCTACCTCCGAACCATGAGAGCCAGTGCTTTGTGACTCTCGCTATTTTATCAAAATTTGCTTTTTATTACCTACATTTGTATACGTTACAAAATAAGCTAAGCACAACTGGGTATTAAAGGATGAAAAATGTTGACATCATTCTGGTTTTTTTTTGGGGGGGTCGTCCAAATCTGTGTATTTGTTTTGCTCATGTTAAGTATTGAAAAAATACTTTATAAAATCCACTATTTTTTTATCCATAATGTTGAATATGTTAAAATTATTCAACTTTTTCACAATAAAAATTTCAAATTGATGTTAAAAATTGCCACAAAACATTGTTGATTATTTAAGATGGAATAATCTCTAATTTGTATTTCGATACATTTTTATTTATTTTTAATTTTCCTAATTGAATTGTACACCTATATTGCATATAATCCATTATTGTACATAATTAGGTTACAATAAAATTTGTATTTTATATTAATACTTTAGGAAAATTGAGATGTAGTAGAATGTAGTGTGGGGACGCATCATAGATTAAGGGAGTCACGAGACTGATCGTGTATTTGTACTCCAGCTATGTCACTCAACAGCAACAACAATAATAATAATAATAAATATAATAATAATAATAATAAGTACAGCCCACACCTTACGAAGGGCTTTATCTATGTAATTTAAATTTTTTTTTTCTTCTTTTTTTTTTTTTTTTTTTTTTTTTTTTTGTCAGTGGAAAGTGTCATGACGCCATTTCTAACCTTAGGTCCCTGGGCGGGACCCGGAAAGAAATGTGTAAACGCCAGAAATCAAAGAAAATGATGATGATAATAATAATAATAATCAATGTCGATCTCCAGAAAACTGCCATCATTTACCCTGCAAGAATTATCCGAAGAAAAGTTCTTGTGTTGTGAGGAGTCTTGTTGACATAATGTCTCAAGAACAAAATGTCCCTTAACTACGTCAATATGCCACACCAACATAATTATAATCTTTAATCAATGCTATAAAAACGGACATATATATTGCCATTTGTCTTCCTTGTCCATTTTCCTCTCATTTTAATAAATATGTCAGTTTTTATTGCATTGATTAAATTCTTTAACTGCCAAGAAGTACTTTGAATTCCACAACGGAAGTATGTTGACTATCTTCGTGAACCAAGTGACAGCAAGTTTTCTCACCTCAGAAACTGCTCGTCAATATCCTTTGTATTAGGCACCGTTTAATTTCTCCCTTCTTCTTTTCTTTCTCCTTCTCCGTCCTCCACCATTCCTCCCACCTCCTCCTCCTATTTTTCTTCTAAAATACTCTTACCGCCAATAAATGACTGATATGTAATTGATTTAATTGATTTTACAACTGTGTTGTTTATACCTTCTACATGAGCAATCACGGGTTTCATCATCATCATCATCATCATCATCATCATCATCATCATCATCATCAGTTGCTTGATCGGGTGTGGCCGTAGAGTCGCAACGCGACTGAGCAAATGACCAGCTTCCTCCACGTGTGTCGGGTGCGTGCCAATGTCTGAGTCACTGTGAATAATATTCCAGCATAATTTTATCCGTTCAATTACCTCTATTATCGCACGTAAAAAATAGTACTACTCTTTGAATCATTAAAAGTGAAAATATACCAAGAATTCTAACACAAGCAACCTGTAATTCAAAAAAAAAAAAATGAAAGCAATATTAAAATAATTTTACGATTACATTCGTTACATTTTCTGTATGAGTAATCTAGGATTTTGATCTATCCAATTATTTCTATTAAGAAAAAAAATCTCTTTATAAAACCATTAAATTTTAAATTATCCAAAGGAGACTATCACTTAATAAAAGTAATAAATGGCAATGTATTATCAGACTGATCTCACTTACTAATATAGTATTCCGTTGTTACGGTAACACTAATAATATTCACTTATTAGCGTCGAGTAAAGCCTCATGTTATTACAACAATGAAATATCTCATTACTAAGAAGAGAAGGTCAGGCTGCGTGACCGATAAATATATATAGTAGCTTTGTATTTTATATTACCGAATAGAATTTGCTTGTTTCTATGTTCGTACTTTGCCCTTTCTGGTCAATAAACTGTTTCTTCCATATAATTTGACGGAATCCTACCTTGACTCGAACCGCTGACTTGAAGAGAAGTAAACAAATGACACAGACATTATACCATCTTTCTCTGGTTAAATTATTGGATGAAGTTAAGTAGGACATACTAATATATGAGTTTCTTTTTGTAACGATTTGAATTCGCCACTTATATTTTTCTGAATAAAAACTGCTATAAAATCACGAAAAGTAAATTTAATAGTTTCTTCAATTTTTTATGATATTTTAGCTAAATTTAAAGTTTAAAAATCAACCTAAAGTTTAATAATATACAAGGTACTTACTTCCTAATGTATATAAAAATAACCACCAAATAAGACGGTACCGAGCGTTCTGGAAAAATAAGGAATGAGCTTGTCAGATTTGAATTTCTGCAACGCTGGCTTATAACTGCATGGACGATTCTTCTAGAATGAAATACAAATGTTATGCATTACAATTAACTATGAAACAATACAGAACGGACTCAATTGAGAGACATGCATCAGTTCAAAAATCAAAACTAATTTTTTCTTTCAAATAAGAAAGAGTCAAAACACTCTGTTTATGAACCGGTAATCTATTTACTTCTGTATTATTATTATTATTATTATTATTATTATTATTATTATTATTCTCTTCTTCTTCTTCTTCTTCATCATCATCATCATCTTCTTCTTCTTTGTGCCGTTGCCCTTCAGGACGTGGGCAATCAGGGTTTCACAAACTTCCTTTCCTTTTGTAGCTAAGACATCCTTTTGCTATCTCTCCTAATCCCTATTCTGCCAACCATTTACACAAGCCCGCTAGGTAGATTACACGCTGCTTTCCACCATCGATTCGACATATATATAGACTTGTATCTATAGTCTTTCTACTACCAAAAAAGAACTTGAATCGCATACTTCACAACAGATTATATCGAATCAATCGCCAGGTCTTCTGCTAAGAAAGTTGATTCACTGTGTTGTTCTAGACAATTTTTCGCGTCAGAAACTATCTTACACATTTATAAGTATACCATTCGTCCATATGAATATTGCTCCTACATCCGATCTGGTGTTTCTGCTATGTCTTTAGAGATTCTTGATAAAATACAAAGTAGACTTTATAATGTTATCAATCCTGACCTGGCATCTCGGCTTCAGTCACTTTCCGACCGCCATAACATAGCTTCTCCGAGCCTTTTCTTCATGGTAATTGTTCTAGTGAGCTTTCCTCTTTGGTACCTGGACGTTATGAATTTAAGTGTGCTACTAAATAGTGCTAAAGTCTCGTCATCATATAGTTGGAAGGGTTAGATGTAACCGTAAGTTCTATGTTAACAGTTTCTTCTATTGCGCTTATCACTTGTAGAACACTCTCCAGGTTTCTTGCTTTCCAGTCAACTTTGATCTCAAAAATTTAAATGCAATGTCAATCGCTATTTTCTGTCTTCTTAATCCCTGTTCTCTTTGGTTAATAATATTTTCATCTTTCTCATATTTTCTAACACTCAGTAAAACCTTGCGTTTTAGTAGCTTTATTGCTGTGCTTCAGATGAAATTAATTTTTTAAAAAGTTTTCATCTTTATTGCTGTACCCGGAAATACCTGGGCTGGTTTGGGCAGACTTAGACTCTGTGGAAACAAGGCGGACAATGAGTAGTACTGAATAGGAACAAGACGAGAAGGTCGGAGGGCACAACGGCCAAAACTTTGTGATAATAACAACATCATATACATTATTTACAATTGGACAATAGTCCAAGTGTAAATAATGTATATGATGTCATACATTATGAAATGAACAAAGTCGGACAATTATTTTTAAGACATTTTTATGTTTATACATTCTTTTTACATATACAAATATTTAAGTAAAAGCTCTGTATCTATAAAAAGAATGTATAAACATAAAAATGTCTTAAAAAAATAATGTAAATGATGATAACACTTCATCACAGAAATACAGACAATCCACCATGTATAGCCACGAGAACATTTCTTTGAAGACAGTTTCCTGTTTTCGCTGAAAACTTGACTCTTTCCACCCGAGACGCTATTTACTTTTCTGTTTTGAAGAAATTCAAAGATTTCCCTTCGTTACTGACAAGTAAGAAAAATTTTTCAATTTTCATTTCGCGCATGCGCGCCTGACCTCTTTTCGAGTCTTTTACCAATCCGTGATGTTTAGCAATCAAGAATACTATCGGCCAACTTGTTTAAATAGGTGGCGTGGCGAAGGGGGGATATGACGTGTTCATCGAAGTTTTGGATGAACTTTGCACATGCGCATAGAAAAGGTTAATTTTCGTGAACTGCGTATATTGAGAGGATGGGGGCTAAATTGATAATACAAAGAGATTAATCTGGCTCAAGCAACTTGAATACGTGAGGTTTTATTACCGTAAATGGATAAGCTTAATTTACACATTTAAAAGCTTTTCTCTTAACGGAAGATTAGAGATTAGTGATAATTACGGCCAATATCCTTTGAACGTGAACAAGGCTTAGAAATGTAATTTTATGCCAATTTGATTTTTATACAATAGGCAATAGATTGATAGTTTGGTTAATCCAAAACCTTTCAATTAATAGATAGATTTTTTAAATCATTTCATCCCGTGCTAGATAAAAAGGCAATTAACAGATATATATATATATATATATATATATATATATATATATATATATATATATATATATATATATATAGAGAGAGAGAGAGAGAGAGAGAGATTTTAAATCATTTCATCCCAAACTAGATAGAAAGACAATTAACAGATTGAGATAGATAGATAGATAGATAGATAGATAGATAGATAGATAGATAGATAATTTTTAAATCATTTCATCCCAAGCTAGATAGAAAGACAATTAAGAGACTGAGATAGATAGATAGATAGATAGATAGATAGATAGATAGATAGATAGATAGATAGTAAACATTTTAAGCGATCATCTGGTATATATGTATATCTACGAATGCTCTGTCTTTGATATTAAGCCCTCTTCACCCTAAATGTGTAAACAAAGTATATTTAGGCAGCAATCCGTCATTTAATAGAACTATCAAAGGATTTCTCTGAAGTGTTTGGTGATTCTTGACTGATATCGAATAAGTCGTTTATTGCTGATTGGAAATTTGTAAAGGAACATGCTGAAGCTGTCTGCATCTTTCGACCATCGCAGGTTATTTCCAAGGAAAAAAAAATTTCAAGTCGAGAGTATTTATGTACTTAACGGTTCGGAGTTTGAATTTAAAATTTAGCACACTGTCAATCGTCATCTTCAGTCTCTTTAATTCCTGTGCTTTTATTGGTCTTTCTCCTTAATAATGTCCTTTTTTTTCACAGGTTCTTTCAAATTCAGTAACCATTTGTGTCTGAGTGACTTTATCACCTTGTTTAGTGTGAAATGATTAAAAAAACAATTGAAAAGAATGTGGATTTATATGGTATTGCGGTGGAATAGATTTAGTATTGCATGAATAAAATATCCATACTATACAAATGCATGAAATATGTATGTATATATTTAAACAAAAAATTGATAACACAGAATTTATGTATTGTTTTAAAAATGAAGCTCATTCTTTTTCTTAAAAAGAAATTTTTTCGTCCAACAAAAAAGATTCGTTGGGAAAAAAAACTAAACACACACAAAAAAAAAAAAAAAAAAAAAAACTGAAAAAGTGATTATTGTTGGGGTGCGTTAAATAAGGGTAAATAAGTCGCGATTAAAATAAATTTCTTACTACAAAAACTAAATAAATCGATATAAATAACCTCCTAGTGAGTATAAAACAGAAAAAAAATCATTGGACACACGATTGGATAGCACGTACTTACACATAAAGGCCCAGGGTGGAGTCAGTATTCGATTGACTCACACGGTTTGTGTGTCATCGATTGGACTACGTTTGCTGAACAACACGGGTAACTCGTCAGTAACGAAGAGAAATCTTTGAATTTTTTCAAAACAGAAAAATAAATAGCGTCTCGGGTGGAAAGAGTCAAGTTTTCAGCGAAAACAGGAAACTGTTTTCAAAGAAATGTTCTCGTGGCTATACATGGTGGATTGTCTGTATTTCTGAGATGAGGTGTTATCACCATTTACATTATTTACACTTGGACTATTGTCCTCATCTTTGTTGTTATTATCACAAAGTTTTGGTCGTTGTGCCCTCCGACCTTCTCGTCTTGTTCCTATTCAGTACTACTCATTGTCCGCCTTTTTTCCACAGAGTCTAAGTCTGCCCAACCCAACCCAGGCATTTCCGGGTACAGCAATAAAGACGAAAACTTTGTTTTTTAAATTCATTTCATCTGAAGCAAGGCAATAAAGCCACTAAAACGCAAGGGTTTACTGAGTGTTAGAAAATATGAGAAAGATGAAAATATTAACCAGAGTGAACAGAAATTAAGAAGACAGAAAATAACGATTGACATTGCATTTACATTTTTGAAGATCAAAGTTAACACAAAAGCAAGAAACCGGAAGAGAGTTGTTCAAGTGATAAGCGCAATAGAAGAAACTATTAATATAAATATTCTGACGAAGCATTTAGGGTGCTGCACAAAGCTAGGTCGGTCAAACATTTACGTATTTTACGTTTACGTACTTTCTTCGTTCTTTGTGTTTCATGTGAGGATGGAATCCAGAGAGCTCAATGATAAATCAGAGCGAATCATTTAATTTAAAGAAAACCAGATAACTTTAAGGTTCCATGGTTATAATTTATTTCCCCAGAGAGTTTCTTTTTCCCAGGATCATCAGACCTCACTTCCAAGGATGAAAAATGAATTTAAACTTACACTTTTGAAGGGTAGTATACTGCCATTCAAAAGTGTATGGTTAAATTCATTGGTTTTCTTTAAATTAATATATATATATATATATATATATATATATATATATATATATATATATATATGTGTGTGTGTGTGTGTGTGTGTGTGTGTGTGTGTGTGTATAGCTTAGATGTGGCACAAGGCCGAAAGTATGGGGCACCTAGTGAGGATCGAAATCGCTACTCAATCTTAATTTATCTAGCGGAACAAACTTGTTAACCATTATACCATGACGAAGTGCCCAACATATAAAAGGAGCACCTAAAGATTGTGCATGAAACTCCGAAATACCTGAAAGAACAATAAAAGCTACTGGACTTGAGTAACCTATTTTCATGAAAAACTGTTTTAATAGAAAGTCTTTATTAATTTTAACCGAAGGTAACACTGGCTGCTTAGTCAATGAATGCCGAATGTTTCCTTATAAGGAAACGGCTAATATTGCCATTAATATTACCACGTAGTCCAACAACGGTAGGTTATCCCGGGAGGATAATATAGAGTGTCCTTAGGTTCAAGTGGCTCGGAAATGAATTGAGGGGCCTTCCGTAAACTTTGAACAAATGTGCGGGGCCTTTGCAATGGCTCGTCATGAGCCCAATCGAGCACACAAGATCCTGTATCTACTGCTATAAGGGAACTATGCGGCATGGCTCAGTATCTCTCCAGAACTTTTCTGACCACTTGTGGAATCGATACCAAGAGAAGTAGTTGCCAGATTAGACGGGGTGCTGCGATATTAAGCATATCTCCCATGACTTTTGGCACGTCAGTGTTTATGAAAGATTCCTTTGAGAACCAAAGTCACATCCTTGAGTTTAAGATGAAAACGTGCAAACATTTGCAATTTATACAAGACATTTTTAAGGGGTTTGTTTTGTTTTAAATATTCAACAATTGTATACGTGATAGACACGGATGTTCTCATTCTAGAAGCTTTCTATTTAAACTTAAAGCAAAAATTTATAAAATCTTTATCGAATTTACTTAGTGCGTTTTATTTGGATAAACAATATTTTCTGATCTGCATTTTCACTACTTTAACACTCAGTGTAACGACTTCACATGGCTGTCATCGCCACTTTCAAGAATTTTGGGGTCACAGTTTGCTTGACTGACGTTTAAACTATGTATTGAATGTCAACAAAATGGCTACTGTGACAGAAAGGAATTCTTACTTCGTTGAATCAGAATTTTTGTTTTGACGAAAGTTTTCCTGTACAACGAAAGTAGATAAACATCACATTTTAGAAGTACATTCCGATACTGAGAAAAAGAAAACTTTACGTTGACATTATAGATAAAGGAATTGATGATGAAGGTTAATTGTAAAAAAAAGTAACGTCTCTATATCAATACCATGGTATTTATCTACGTTCAGAAGTAAGGTGTGCGTCACATTCTAAGAGAAATAAATAAATTGTCACCCATTTTAAAAGTTCAAAGGGGTAATGAATAAAACTGAAGACATCAAGTCCGTTTATCTTTCTTTCGTCCCCATACCTTTACCTTTCCTTTCATACACTCCCTATTCTTTTCGTTTGTTTTCAACTTTCTTACTGCACTTCTTCCGCCCTCTTTTCCTATTTCGCTCACCGTGGTTTCTCCTGCAAAGAACGACGTAGGTTCGAATCCTGCTGGAGGGGTCATTTTTAATAAATTTTCTCGAATGTGCAGGCCGGTAGACAAAATAAAACACTGACTAAAATAAAACACACACACACACACACGCACACACACACATATATATATATATATATATATATATATATATATATATTTAATTTCGATTATAGGTGCAGTTCAATTTATAATTACATGAATCATTCATACAAAAAAAATAAAAATAAAAATACCTCATGCAACTGGAATTTATAAACAGGGATCATATCATTCATATACAAGTTCGGGGTTAGTGTGCCTTATTGAAATTGTTTGCGAAGATGTATTCTCGCCATTTAAATCATTAACCTCTATATTTGTTTTTTGTATGAATGATTCATGTAATTATATATATATATATATATATAAGATAGAGTGTTCTACCTATACCCGCGTCTCTTGAAGATTTGACACATTGAATTGTGCTGTGAAGATTTGACACATTGAATTGAGCTGTGAAGTCAATTGATTTGTGTGTGGCAAGAAGTGGAATACCGTTTTGATGTTTGACATGCAACACATGGCGCTCATGTTGATTGCACACAAGTTGAACAACTTTAAAATAATAAAATTTGAAGTTTTTCCTATCCAGTAAGTTGTTGAATGTGTTTCTGTCTTTTACCATTTATTTTTATTAAACTTTGGAAATCTGTTCTTTCTTTTTGAATAACCCTACATCAAGGCGATCCTTATACCAGGCCTCTACACCATGTTGAGGCCAGTGAGCTACTGGGGGCGAACTGTTAACATGTGAAAGTTCGTTGTTGGAATTGGATTGAGAAATTAGTTTTTTTGTAAAGACTTTTTAGCTTTGGATTATTTAAGATAATATTTATTTATTTTATTTGAACTTGCATATTTTATCTTTAAACAAACATTTTTCGATGCGAAATTCCCAAGTGTCATTATTAAGAATTCATAAAGTTAATTTAAATTTGATATTTTGCTTTATGCTATTGTTCTTCAACAATGAACATATTCAGTATAAAAATTTGTTATGAATAATTTATGTTAACAGAACAGACGTATCTTTTTTTTTTTTTTAAATATGTTGAATTTCTCTGTCCTTGGTGAATAAATAGAAGACATTAAAAAAAAGCAAGGTTTTTCACTGCGAAATTATTGAGAAATTTATCACATGGTTAATGTCAAAATTAAATCCAATAAATTTATTAATATTTTACAACTATTTTTCAAAATATACCACAAAATAAAGAGAAGGACGTTCATTGTCTTCTTAATATGGTTTTTTTCCTCTCTTTTTTTACATGTTTTGCGAAATTTATAAAAACAAATGTCAATATTAAGAATTTTGTCACAGAAAGTGTTGTGGATTCCGTGAATGGAATCCTGCACAAATAAATAAACAACGCCAGAAATTGAGATAGAAAAATAAGTGTATTAAACGTAAGAATACAGACTTGAAGTGAAGAT